TAAGGTTCTTGTTAGCCCACTCTTCCAGCCTATCCAGATCTTCCTGCAGGGTGGCTCTCCCTTCCAGAGTGTCTACTTCCCCACTCAATTTGGTGTCATCTGTGAACTTCATCAGGCTACACTTGATCCCATTATCCAGATCACTTATGAAGATATTGAATAGCGTTGGGCCCAATATCGATCCCTGGGGGACCCAAGTTATATAAGTCATAATTGTGTCATACCTAGAAGTTTCAGTCCTATGTGTCTGCTCAACTGTGGAAATAAAGAACTAATGACACTGAGACAGTTCTGTTCCTTCTGACATCTTGAATGAAACTGGAAGTTGCATTTTCTTGAAATTAAAAAGAAACAAACAAAACCAAACTAAAACCATCCGGGCAAAAACCTAGACAAAAAATTTCATCATTTAAGGTTTCATATTTTGGAGTAGTTTTGGAAAGAGACTTGAACAGTAATGAAAGTCACAGTAATACACACTGTGTTGGCTGTGCAAAGAGGGTTTGGTTTTTTTGCCAGCTCAATTACTACAGTTCAATCTCTGTATGCATTTCTGTATACCAGAATTGTAGCCACCACACACTATTTTATATGCTCTGGCTAGAGATTCTTGTTTATCAAAAGTAGGAATCTCTGCAGCAATAATAAAACGGATTCTTCAGAACTTGCAGGAAAAAAACAAACAAAAAAAAACCCCAAAAAACCAACTTTAACTTACTTTAGAAGCTTAACGTGCCATTCATACAAGCTGTCATTTACCAGTTCCACTGAATATATCCCTGTAGAAATATTAGATGGAATTAATTATGCACTAGAAGTTTAACACAGTAAAATTTAGCAAAAACATTCTTTGCTTTTAAGTACAAATACTGTCAGTAGATGTCAGCAATAGATAAGATACTGAGATACTGATACTGAGACACATCCTTCCTCCAATAGCAGAAGCACTTCTGAGCAACTACAAGGAAAAAAGTTCTCTCCCTCCTACAAAAAAAAATTCCACATGAATCAAAGTGTTCTTCTGACATCTAACCATTTCCCCCCTCCCAGTTCCCCTTCAAACTTTCCACAGCTACAACTCCAGCTTGCTTAGTACTCAGTATGTTTTATACCCAGTACATGACCAACACGCTTTTAAAACACTTAACACACAGTCTGAGTATGCAGCATTGTAGTTCACAGGTTCTCATTGGTATTGGCAGACCAGGACAGGACACTGGACAGTGTATGAAGCAGAAACCCAAAAAAAGAAGATACTGCATTGGATGAAGCACATTCCCAACAGCTGACCAAAGAAGTCAGAAAGATGCATCAAAAAAATAGCTGTCTCTGGAAGGCAGCTGGTGATTTTCAGCAGTCCATTTGTTTTAAGCATGTTAAACAATAGTTATACATTTCACTCAAAGGGAAGGATGAAAGGTTATCTGCCATTTTCTTGTATATTCAAGCTTCCTCTCTGCAGAAGTTCAGAAGCAGCCCAGGAAAAAAGCAATAAACCTTTAACCATCAGACAAGATTTACAAAACGGTATCAGTGATGTTCAAAAGTCTAATCCCTTCCACCACAGGCTATTCATGCATAAACACTAAGCAACTAGGATTAAACTTGTTACCTGGGCTAATATTTAATGGCATATCTGTTGCTGATATAATTATTTGGAAGACATATGCAAATCAAGAATCTGCCTAGGATTTCTGAAGGCCATACAACCAATAGACTGCAGCCAGCACATCCTCTCCAAGGAATTACAGTATTCATTTCCGAGTTTTATTATTCTAGAAAACATTATCTTCCAGTTGAAACTTTTAAGCATTACTACTTGGAGTACAGATGACATTTCAAGCTGTCATGACACCTTTGTTTCTAAAGCATTCCAACACTCAGTAAAAAAGGTAAAGAAACCATGCTTGTTCCTCCTTACCACAGTGCCCCAAATAAGTGGGTACTGCAGCCAAGATCATGCTTTCAAATTTTTCTAAGTCTAGGACGACAAAGTAGGTCTGAAAACTTACTCACTGTGCTCTCAATGTCCCTTTTAATCAGCAGGTCATTCAGAGGTGCCACATTTTTCTGTTCGAGGATGAACAGAAGGAGCTATTAAGGCCTTTTTCCAATTTCCCAGATCCAACGACACTATTTTCTGAATTGCACTTAGTATAAGTGGAAGCCACAAAGTACAAGAATTTCAATTTGTACTGTTCTGATTTAACAACAAAAGAGTTGACATTCAGAACTCTGCTCGTTGTCAACTCCCATTAATGATTAATCTATTGCACCATTGTATCCAGAATATTTTCTTCCACGTACATCCAAAAGGGAGTGAAGACTAGAAGAAGCAGCCTCTCAGTATTATGGCTTTGGCACCTAGCATGAATATAAAATACTTGTTACAGACAACAGAACAAGTTACAGTAAAGATTCTGACAATATCCTAAATAATGGAAGATCACAAGAGAACTTCCATCAGCTTGTTTATTCACTAAGGCTCTAGCTCTATTCCTGCGCTCCTTCCACCACACTAAAGGTCCTGCTCTCACCCAGAATTCATGTTCCAGTCCCTCAGCTCCATGGGTTACCAAGGTCCACATGCTTTGCTAGCTTCCCCAAAGGAATAACTTTTGCTGGTCTTAAGAGCTGTACTGTACCTAAACCAGAAGTTGTAAAAGGGTTCTTCAGAGAGATGCACGCAGTTCGGGACTGACAAGAATGCGCCTTAACAGAACAGGAAGCTACTTAATCAACCTTTCAAGCACCCAGATTTTGAGCTGAATAGTATTGTATGTCCTCACAAACACCAGCAGCATCAGGGTTGCTCACTGTCATGATACAGAAGCTTCTTAACAACGCTATCCAAAGTTGAGGGGGGGGGTTGTTTGGGGTTTTTTAATAGTCAAGAGGTGTTATTTGGAACCAGCTCATATGTATTTTTCTTAATTTAGGCAGTAAGAGGAAAAAAAGTTACTGTCAAGAAGAATTTATCTGAATAGTACCAGTTTCCGAGAGGTTCTTAAGGTAGGGAAGGGCATCAAGATAGGTTCCCCTCACTTAAACACAGGATTTTTTTGGTTTTATTCCTCTAAGAGGCCATCCATAGAGATGGTGAAGTAAAAGCAAGCACACAGAACCATGAAGCAAGCAAAAAATTTAAGAGATTAAAAGGCAGGAAGAAAAACATCCCCTTCCAAAGTAGAGGTAATGTCTTACTTATAGAAACTTTACTACAACTAGAAGTAAATCCCATACAGTCTTTGGATAAAAGCAGTGAGTCAAAGTAACTATGAACACCCACAGCTGCTAAAGATATGAACAGAAAAGATTTCATTTAATATCCCCAAATACTTTGTTCCTCCCCCTCCCTCCCTACCCCCCAAATTATCTCCAACTTCATATTTGAAAATGAGATCATCTTAGTTTGGAGGACTTGTGACTCCTATTATCAAAACAGGTTAATGAACTGTCTAATTTATAGCAGAGTATCTTAATTTGCTGCAATATTTTTTGCTTCTGTTAGCACATAAGAAAATAGTTTTCTGTTTGTTTTTAAGGGTAGTTCTTCATCTAGATTTTCCAGGTAGATAAGCAACCTTCCTGTTGACAGCAAGCTTGTAGTCATCTTTTGCTTGAACTCCAACTGCAGTATTTCAATCACTAAAGGAACTTCAGTTCTAAAATAGATGCTACCTGGAATATACATCCATAGTTGAGGTCCTGACAGTGTTTTTAAATGCTACTGTTTTTATAAAACAGTTTAACAGAAAAGGAAAAATTTAAAGAACTATTATCACAAGTATTATTCACTTCAGAAGACCCAATGTTGTCCTATTGCCAATCCTGAAAACATGTAACCTCACATACACTAAATAGGTTCTTATGCAACTGAAAAGCAGCCTTAGATTTTCTGGCTTACATTACAAAAATTGAAAACAGTGTTAAATTACCTTGCACCAGTAACCAGAACCTTTAAGTTTCACAATGGTTCCCTTTGTGTCTTAATAGTAAGAAATTAAATTAAGGGAAAAATGGACCATGAAGCAAGTACTCAGAACAAAGATCACATTAAAAAAAAAAGTCAGTTATCTACCATGCCCCTGCTCACATGGTGACAATTATCTAACAACAAAAGACAGAACTAGGCTATAAAAGCAGGAGTTCTGTGCAAGAAAGAGGAACTGATACTTAAATTCACTCAAGTCCTAAGACTAAATGAAGACATAAGGAATTAATCTAGGTAAGTTTTTTAACAAACAGCATTATTTACTGGCAAAATTTAATAAGTGTATCAGTAGGACAGTGTTTCAAAGCAGGATTGCCATCAGCTTTATAGTGTCACCCTCCACCTGACACTTTACTTCATTAACGTGTTTTAGAGATCAGCACGAGGCATCCAGTTGCAGTCTTTTTACATATTCCCGAGTCATAAGCTAATACTAAGTTACTATACTCACCCTTTAGTATTTCAACTTTCTTTACAGTTTAGCAAGATTTACTTTTCCTCATCATTTAGAGTATGCTTTCCTACATCAGGAGTTCAGTCTTTTGCAACTAGTTAAGACGTGTTATTAATCTAAAGCCAAGAAATGGCATTATTAAGCAACCCAAATCCTCACCTCAAACTACACCAATTATAGGGGCTCCTGATTGTGCCTCCAGCAGTACCTCTATAGTCAAGCAGATTTGTTATACCCAATCTTTGTTCTAACCACAAAAACAAACCCTGAAGATCATGGCTAGGCAGTAAAGCATCCCTCATGCCTTAACACAGATCTATTTCTAGGCTCTTCCTTTGACCCACTAATCCATTCTTTACCAGATAGATGGTGATTAGGGCATACTGGCAAGCACTCAGTTGCAATAAAGCCTAAAAGAAGTAGGGTACACTAGATCAACACTAGGTTACCTAATCAACTTTATACTTCAGACATTTTACCACTGTCCACAGTACTTGAGCACATAAAGCTATTTACCTAAAAGGTAAATATGGCAAATCAGAACAGGAGCCTATTGTCTCTTCAACTCTGTCCTTTTACACACAAAATGCCATAGCCACCAAATAAGATTTAAGCCCACTAAAAATAAACTAGGGGAGAAGTTCAGAAAAGTAAAAGATAGAGGCTTAAAGTTTAGACTGCCTTTCTAATCGGTCATTCCTCCTATTCCCATCCTGGCCTGCACCAGGTTCTCATACCTGGCTGCAGTGGTGAAGTTGTCTACTTGTCTGACCTACAGGAAATCAACTTGCCTGAAATCTATGTAATTTCTACTTGTACTGTAACGCTCAGACAATTCAGTATGTGATTCCTTTGCTGAGCTAGTTTAGATACAGCCCCTATATGGAGCAAATAGAACAGCCAACCACCTACCTACCTAAAGCTAATAAGTGTTTGTTATTCAAACAAATTTAAAAGACAAGCTTGTTTTCTGTTGCCATTTGTATCCTTATTCCAAGGAATACACAGAGCTCAGGATCAGATTAACATCATCACAAAATAATAAAAGTAACAGCAGTGTAATTAAGGTTAAATCCTGTATAATAACAAAACCTTCTGCTGTTGAACACAAATCTGTGAGCAGTACTACCCACTGTTAGTGGTCAAAGCTTTTGCCCTATATACCTGGAGAGCTGAATTTCAGGTAGTTCTGAAAACTCAAGAAGTCCCACAGGAGTAATCTTGAGTTGTTCTTTGCAGTCATCCACCCCAAGAGCATTCTCATAGTTACACCAATCCTGTTAACTCTCATATGAAGCTTTGCATAACAAAAAGGAAGAACGTTTTAGAGGATACGTATCCCGACTTCCTTTTTCTCCACAAATATACTACTTTATATAATGAGATCATATATAATGTATGTATGTATTTTTATTTCTCTCTATATACGTGCACACATACATTAACATACACACACATATATACATACATATGACAACAAAACACAGAGGGATTAGCAGGAAGTATTTGCCAAGAGAATTCTTTTAAAATGTATTTTAAGAAGGGAAATCTGAAGTATTTTACCTGTTTTATAACTCTGTGATCTATATATATCCCTGAGTTCTTTCATAAGTCGATCTGAAGCCTGAACTGACCCAGAGACTGCACCCTGAAACAAACAAAAGACGCCAAATAAGTGAAAAGTAATATTTACATCAAACAGCTTTATTTCCATTACAAAGTTACACTAACTAGAAGGTATTGAGAATATATTAATTTCTGTATTAGGATTAGGTTTTTGAAAAGTTACATATTCTAGTGAGCAAAGACTACTCAAAAGAAACAAGACACTCCCTCTAAAGGCAGCACATTAATATATACTACTACATGGTATAGGTGATACAAACTTTTAATCAAGGTACAACAGACATTTTTCTGTAAAGGAGTTTAATCTCTCTGGCATTTTGATTTCCAAGACGGATCCACAGTACATTTCTAATAGGAAAATATTTCCTTTTACCTTCTGCTCTTATGCACCGGAAGGAAGAGTAAGACTAGTGTTTTGCTGTTTTATCAGAAGTATATTTTTACTTGATTATGAAAAAAGGGACAGGAGTTGGGAAGTATCCACTATAGAACACCAGCTTCTGGATAAAGTAAGACCAACCAATATATTTAGAAAACGCAGAACAAAAGCAACACTATTATTTGCAATAGAGTGAAAAAAATCAACACCTAGAGAGGAAGACTAAGGTAAGTAAACCGTAAAATACCAAATATTTTGTTGTGATTTGTCATAGTTCTTGTGGTTTATGCAACCAGGGCAGAAATCTCTTCTGTTGTTTTAGAGCTCAATCCTGTATTACTTAGCATCTCAAAGTGATAGAAAACTTAGCGTACAATTTCTGAACCTGATATTTCAACCTGAGATACAGTGCTAAAGGAAAAAAAAAAAAGGGAAAAAAAAAAGACCTTTAAGTGACATATATGACTGGCTCTAGAAACCACCAGTTACTGACAAACTAATGAACACACCAGTTATCAAGTAACTGTTGTCTACTTATATCAACAACTGCTGCACTGGATGTATTCTGCACACATCCCCAATGCTGACAGTTCTGTGACCTTGATATTAACTTTTGCCTCAATTTTCTGAGCTTTTAAGCGAGCACAGAACTTCTTCCTCTTACGAAATTAAAGCGCTTATTTAGAATAACACGATCACCAAAAGTACCTAGATTACTCTCTCCAATTCAATGCTAAAGCTAGCAGGAAATATTTTGATACTAAGTCTTAGATGTTACATGATTACCCTGTTTATATATTCCACCCAAAATACCATTTTACATTCAAGATTTCTGGAAAACAGAGAGATAAAAATTAGCATTACAAGATTTAAGATATGGAAAAGGAATGAGGACTCCAAATGAGGTAAGGTAGGTATCACCCCAAAGCCCAACCCTGTGAAGCTTTGGCTTTCACCGGCAGTCAAGTTTCCCAAAGGTAGATTATTTCATGAGACCCACGCAGTTCTCTGCTGCTGCTTGGACTTCCGTCACTCCCACTGAAGTACAGGCTAATACATGTGGCTCATAAGTGTGCTTTTGGGTGCGGGGGGGGAAGGAAAAAACCCCACCACCAAAGACAAAACAAGCCCCCACCTCGAATAAAGTTCAGGCTCCTATATGAAGTACCAAATGATTACTTTATGGGTCTGTTTTTCTGCTCCATCTAAAAATTTGAAGAGATTTGTTTCTTCAGTTTCCTTTCAGACACTATGAACATCTACAAAACAGATCCTTTTTGGACAGAAGTGTCAGAGAAGTATTTCTGGAGGAATTTGAAGCAGCTATGACCATTGTGTAATACCTGAAATGTCATCCCTGTTTGCCCGAAGTCAACAGTGATATTATGTATTCTACAAGGTCTTAATTGCAGCATCAAATTATTTCTTAATAAGGATTAAATATCAGTAATAGTTACTTGATGCTAAAGCCTCCACATACTCCTTCATCTTCTCTGTTCAGCAGCATAATATAATATGCTTAGCTTCACACTATAATCTGTAGACTATTCTTTTAGGCTATTCATTTTCATATTCCACTGGATTTAATTGTGCAGATTACTGAAATTTCACTAGTTTTTCTTAACGGACCGGTATGAAGAATGAACTTTGTAATTAAATATGCAAATAAAAGGCAACTCCTTTCATCCGATTAAACAAAAGCTATATAAAGACAGGGCTCTAGACAAGTCATTTCCCAGTTTACTGAAGCCCCTATCTATAGAGCAGTATCAAAGAAGGGATTTCTCTTCCTTTAATAGCAAGCAAATGAAGTTTTATGGAAAAAAAACCCTGGTTGTTTATATACGTTATTTGCAGATTATTACTATTTATACCCACTATTTGCAGATTAGCTGAAAAAGGAAGCATTACACTTAACAAGTTAACACAATGTTAACCACCATTCTCTGTAAAATTGCTGTGCTTTTTCAGACCTCTACTGTGAGAGTTAAGGTTGAGACTCATGAATGTGTTGAGTCTGGAAGAAAGAAACTTCATAGAGAAGTGTCGAGATTTTGGCTTTCTTCTGTGCAGAGCTGTGCAATATCCTTGCCTCATCTGCTGTACTGTTACTGAAAGAAGGAATTTTCTTACGCTTTTCACAGAATATCAACCTCTAAGCACAGGCAATTTAAAAACAACTTAGGTTCTCAAAGACATCCTGTGGAAAACTCGTTTCCTCATTGCATCTTTAATTCCATCAAATTAAGCTACGGAATTTCTGTATATAATGTTGGAAGCTCACCTTTGCATAGGAAAATTTAAGTATCTTTTGTACTGCAGTAATTTAAAAAACAAAACTTAACACACCCACATACTCCTGAGTGCCATTACAACTGCTGACAAACTGAATTGGTATTTAAAAAAAAAAATAAAAGGTTCATTTTAGTGTGTGTAAGCTAGTCTCAGTAGACTTTGGCTACAACAGTGTTTTTCACCCTTTTTTCCTAGGAGGTTCTAGTTGGGCTGCCCACTCCTTATATAGCAGTATTAAATATAGTTAGACTTGCTACTTTAAAGAATCAATAGACTGCAAACCAGTAATCTATGATCAAGAGAAACAGGCTAACAAGCTTAACCTAAGAAGTTTAGCACAGGAGCTTACTCTACACGCTTTGAACTACCCTCGCAGGAAGTTGAAGTGTGCAGAGATTAACTGTTATACCTGATGGTAACCTTAATGCCAAACACCACTGCTTTGCAACACAAAGTCTTCATTCTGGTGTCACTTTTGTTTTCTATAACTACAGTTGAAGTGCAGTTTAGAAGAGAGTACTACCTGCATTACACCATTGTGTGATATAGTAAAGCAGTGAGTTCAGTTTGACTATAATGGTACTAAAATTAAAAACTTTAATTTTCACTAACTCCCTATATGCAAGTTATAATTTCAAAGACTGAATTCAGATATAAATGACTGAGTATCCTTCTGGAAAAGTGGGACTTACCACTCCAAGGGAGATAAAGCTCCCATTTCTCCAGTTGTGAGATCAAGACTTATAGTCGCAACTGCCTTAGAAATAACTAGTCAATCATGGGATCTGATAAGCATCTGTCATGTGGGGTTGATGCCAAGGGCAGAAAGGCATAGACATTTGATCTGTAAACTGAAGAAGTTAAAAGAGCTGCCAGACAAGCCCCAAGTGACCTTTTTCCTATTAAGTAATCAAATAGGTACAAAAAGTCTCACTTGATCATCCTCTCCTGTACAAGCATACCTGTGGTTCTCCAGAACAATGAGCAGGTAAGCTGGAGAAATCCCTGCTGCAGGAGGTACACACTTATGTGGACAACATGCCATTTGCTGAGAGCTGCAAATGACAAACACCTGGTGCAGGGATTCCCAGAGCCAAAACTGTTGGACATGAAAAATACTCATGAGATGCATCACCACAAGCTTGTCCCGTTCTCAAACTCTTCCCCCTAAGGATGTGCTACTGCCGCTGTCAGAAATGTGAAACTTTAGTCCAGGTCAGTATAGGCATTATATTTTTCAGAAGTGTTTCTATCCTTAATTAGTATTTTAGTGTGAACATATAAATCTGAGTAAAATACTTTACAGAACAGTTAAGCAACTTCTAAGAAAACTAGGAGTTCAGAACTTCTGCATTCGCTAGTCAGTAGGGCCCACCTAACCGTGCAGAAATCGCCACAGCACATGCCACTGCCCTACCTAGCTGTCTGATGCACTAAGTCTCCAGAGATAGGAGGTTTTGCAGCCTCAGCTTTTCTCCTCTGGGCATTTTCTTTTCCCCTTCCATCCCTCGAAACACAACCACAGTCCACTCCTTAAATGACTTATCTGAGGTAGGAGGTGCAGTTCACTGCAGTTTTAAATCCAAAGACCAGATTGTCTGTTTTCTGTCTGATCAGAAAAATACCGTCACACATCAAAACAGTACAGTAAATCACCTCACTCACAATACATTTCAGGTAATTTGGCCACAAGACTAAAAATTACCTGCTAAAACAAAACACAAAAATTGAAACTCCTCCAAGATAATAAAACAAAATCTAAAGTGACCCAAAAAGAGCTGAAGAATACAAGTTTGCTCTATTGTCACTGAACTTTCTCAGTATTTGTGCAGAATTACATTCATTCCTGGAAGTTAACGCAGATTCATACTTACTTCAAGGATTAGACCGAAAATGGAAATGACACCTTAAACTTCATAAAATCCGAAGATCAAAGTGGAGACATTTGAGACTTCTAAAGGAAAGTGCATAAACTCCTCAGTAGGAAATGGAAAAAGCTAATAGCATTATCTAAATAAGAAAAGCATTAATCTCTAAAATGATTATGTGGGAAGAGACCTCTGAAAAGCAAGCAGCAGCAAGTTGTTAAATATTTGAAGTTAATGATTCCAGTTCAAAGACCTTTTTTTATTCCCAGTAAGCAAGTGGTTCTTTAAAGTTATTACAATGTTAAGAGGAGGATTAATTCTTGCTCCAAGTTACACACTGTACCGCAAGCCAAATTTGAGTTTATTTCCTGATGCCGGCAAGAAGAATAGGATTAGGGATACTGCCAAGGAAGAGAACTAGTTTACAAAATTAGCAGATACATATTCTTAACTTGTATAAAACACACAAACCCTAAAAACTCCTATGACAAAAAGTCTTGAGCAGCAGAAAGATGTCTTTAACCTGTTAAGAATATGCGAGAAAAGGACTGCATGCACTCCTTTCCTATGGAAAAACCTTTAGCATGATCCGTAAGGTCAACCTTCATTTAGCCAAGGGGAGAGAGGATGACCCATGGATTTGGGCCAAAGAGCATGTAAAGAAACTGAAAAGTCTCCTGGTTGCACTGGGCACTAGTCAAAGTCCTACATTAGGCTTCACGTTCCCTCTTCCAACAAGGAGCATTGTAAACAGCATGGCTTTGTTTTACTTCCCTCTCCTGAGGAAACAAAGTATACCGAAAGAGGTGTGTGGTTTGTGTGAAAACCCACTACATTTAAGTTTGTGAAACTCACACTGTCCTTTAAGAAAACCCGCTCTGAAGGGCTGTACAGATTTAAATTTTGCTTTATGTTAGGATACTGAGCAAACTTCTGCTATCTCAGAGCATGTTTAACATGTTCTATTAAAAGATCCGTGTTTTGGCATCATAAAGGGCCTTTAAGTGCTACTAGGTTAGCTCTTTCCTAGGTCAGTAGTGCACCTATAGTTTTCAGTTGTCAAGCACTTAAAGAGTAAACCCTCACAAGCCCTTTGAGAAATTATTTAAGCAGCGCAGCTATTTCTGGTGACCCACAAAAATACCACGGTTCCTCAGCAGCAGTTGAATACCCTGTTCCTGTACTCAGCTGACCTTGTTTATGCACCAGCATCAACCAGAGTGCCTTGGCATGAGAAACAGCTATTATGTAAGCTGAATCTGCTGTTGTCAAACAAAAAAACAGCAATGTTCATTTCAGCTCCACTAGATGTGGAGGGAGAAAGCAAAAGAAAAAGCACTATTTGCCAAATGGGAAAGAACAGATAGCAAAAGAAAATCTGCAGTTTTAAGAGGCTTTCCACACCAAGGAAGAATTTTGACACTACAAAAACTTTTTTCCAGTTTTATCACATTTTTAGATGACAGTAACGTAGACCATGCCTTTCAGGTTGCAAGAGGAAGGAGTCTTTACGATAAGGTCTGAGTTATAAATACAGAAACGCACAGAATCTCAATAGGCACCTTCTCAAACTCTGAACAAACAGTTAAGTTAAAACAAAACCAGTAAGTGATCATTGTGTTTATGGTTAATCAAGTCTTAAAGCAGACTTGACTATACAGCAAAAGCATCTTGGCACTTTATGTTTACCTGCTTTTATATACCGAAATGCTGATCAGGTTGGGAGGGTGGTGTGGTGTTTTGGGGTTTTTTTTGTTTTGTTTTTTTTGAAGGGGTGATCATTGCTGTACACTTTCCTTCAGACGACCTGATAGGTAACTATTGAATTCATGCACAAATCAAAGAGCAGTCTCCTTTAGCCAGCTATCTCATGCTATTTCAGCAGAACGTAAGTCTAAAGTATTTTTGACAGGTCTGCACTCAAGTCATATTAGAGCAGCACTGGGACAGGAGCAGACGACTTGTAGTTGAAAAACTCTGATAGAAGCATTTCTGTTTCTTTCCTTTGCAAAGCAGATGGCTAACATGGAAAAGAGATTCAGTTTGTAAAGTTAAAACTAAGAGGAAGAAGTTTTTTTCTAAAGTAGATAAAGTTATTTATGGCCAGTGATTCATGACAAGAAATAGTCAAGATTCTGTTAACTAAAGGAGCCTTTTCCCCTAAATTCTTATGATAACTAGATCTATCAGGAGTGCATCCAATATAAAAAGTGGATTGGTTTGACTAGCTCTGAGCACTTTGAATGTACAGAGTTCTCGCTACAAATCAAAAGAAGTTTACAACAGCAATTCTCTTGAATCTAATGTAATTTTTAAGTGCAGTTTAGGCTTTTTAGAAAATATTTACTGGAAAAATCATCAAGTATAAGAACTAGAACAAAGCTTGTTCCTTGGGCAAAAATCCAGGTGTTCGCTACATAGCGATCCTAAATCTTATTCCTTCCCTAAATACTTACAGGTCCCTCCCCTGTACCTAACTACTGCTTACATCCTCAACTATTAGCTTAACGAGAAATAGCACATCTTGTGTCTGGACATGATCTACATGTCTGCTGACTTGCCAAACAGCATATAAAAACCTATGAGCTGACACAGTAGAGGGCACCAATTTAAGCACCTTCTTTCTGTACAGGTGACTTACAAAAATTTTAGAACCCTTACCTTTGGTTGAAATTGGTCATGAACAGAAGCATTGAATTTCATGCATTACACATTTTAAGCCTCTGAAACAGAAGTTTTGATTTCTTTGGAAGCCAGGCTAAATAAAATTAAGGTTGTATGACATCATCATTCCCTCCTACATCCACCTTTGAGAAGTAGAAGCTTCTCTGGAACTTAGCACTTGTGACAAAACATTTCTAAGCCTCTGGAGAACAAACAGGTTTTTTACAACTGCCTGCTGGCAGGGTCACTCAGAAAACTGTGATAATAAAGCTGCAGAGCTGCTGAAGGCCCTTTGCTTCCTGTCTGGCAAAAAAAACCCAAAATCCTGAGTAATTTCCAAGTGGCATAGATGCTACTGAAAAACAAACTCACGCATAAAATGGATTTAAAGCACAAATTCCTGGGTTTACGAAGTATGTTAAGTCACCCAAGACTTTTAATGCAGTCAGTTTTATATATGGCTTTATTTATTTTAATAAGCGCTCAGCAACAAAAGTCATGCTTACAACCTAGATGCTTTCTGCTGATTCTGCAAGGAGGACTGTTGTTCATAACACAGGCATCAAGCAAGAGACAGAGGGACAACCAAATAGATACCTCTGACGACCAGTTAAATATCATTAACAAGTGTGAAACCTGGATTTACATGTAAGAGTTGACTCTAGTGAAAAGCTAAAAGATAATTCTTCACCCAAAATGCCAAGAATACCCCAACGCAAGTTTGACAAAAGAAGTTAAGACAGCATTCTCCCAGGCTGAATGGGAGTGCTTTGAAGTAGGTTTTGTGCCTCTGTGGGATATGGACTGACAACTAACATCCTGTGCCACAGATTTTGATGAAAGATGAGTCCATTTACTATATGACCTTAGAATTTTAGCTGGCCTATTCAAACTTCTCCAAAAAGAGTTATTTAAATCCCATAACTTGAGACATTTGTCCTATACATGCTGGAAGTCAGCTACAGGTTAATTTATGTCTAGGTGCATAGCAGTAGGCTTTATTTGCTGAAAGCCATTTCTATTTTAAAGCCAGAAGTATTGCAAAGAAAAAACACAAATCGTTAACTCACATTTAAGTGATCTTGCCTTTGATTTTTTCTGATTTTTTCTAAGATTGCAAGGTTCTCTTTCTCAATGCCTTCATCCTCAGATTTCTTCCCGTCAACTGGTTCCTCCTCCTTCATATCATAGTGATCCAGATCTTCAATGTCCTACAGGATGGAGGAAAATTCACTGTAAATAACTTAACTATGCTCTTCATTCAACAAAACCCTCTCCAAAGGCATTTAGGGATACATAGCGCTGTGCAGTATGACTGTATTAGTGATTGTTGGATGCCATTACTATTTTGCTCTAACTTCACTCTCTCAGCCAACAGTATTCACTGGAGGTGTAGAGAGCCTTCACAATACAAACAAGACCCAGATTCACAACATGTTTCTGGTCACAGAAACAAGCACAATAAAACCTCTGTGAGAAGTTAAGATTGTAGTGAATTAGCCCATTAAAGTAGGTAGAAAACAGGAAGTTAAGGCATTTTGAACAGGGCTTGAGAATCCAAATGTACCCAAAGTTAGGGTGTCTCCAAGATGTTTCTAAAAGCAGACTCCTTTTTCAATTAGAATCCTAGCTATATTACACTTCTGGCAAACAATGGTTAACGGATCTGGCAGGGCTACAGCAACCCTTGAAGAAAGTTAAATATTAGAAAGCTACATGTACGTTATTCAAGGTGAACATTTCAGCTGAAGATTAGATGCAGCATTAGGATATGAGACACAATTATGTGGTCAAGTATCCTGATCACACAAGCATTTCAGTTCCGAGTTCTAGACTAAGACACTGAAAAATCTTCCACTCTGTATTCTGAGATGGGGTTATCCTGTTGCAGAGGAGCACTCTGAACTTAAGACAACTGCCTGTAAGGTGATTCAAGTGCTATTTGTGGAGAGGAAGGGAAATAATACTTCAGGATGAAAAAGGAAGCACTACAGCAGCCATACCAGCAAGCTATGAGTATGCAACTACCAGATATGCTTCAATATGCAGTGCTCCACCACACCTGTGGCTACTCTTTATGCACCATCTGTTTGCATGGCAGGAAAACCTGGCCATAAGTGCAAATTCAAGGATGCCTTACATAGTAAGAAACACACTTATCTGGTGCCTTTGACAACACCGTCTCCTCCAATTGTAACAGATTTTAGACTGAGTATTCTTTAAAATGCTCATATTTTTCAAAATAATGATATAGCCGTAGGAACCCTAAGCTGCTTTTCAATTTAGAAATTGAACTAGATTACAAGTTGAAGATATCAGTGCCACACACAATGCCACCTGACAGCTTATAAATAATGAGAGACATGATAATGTTTTTGTCTAAAGTAAGCCAAAGAGAGTGCAAAAGGCTACTTACAAGTCTGCAAGAAAACAAAAAGAGCCTTGTGGCAGAAGGATATGGGAGCATACATACTACCTTTACAGAAACTCTGGCTCCAACAAATGTTGTCTGGATCAGGCTAAATATGGTGTAAGAGAGGCTGCTTCAAATTAAATCCAGAACACAGGTAGCATTTAGATCTTTTCTAAAGGAAGACTTCCTCTTCAAAGAATGAGTTGTTCATTCTTACTACACACCTTCTTCATTAAAAATCTAAATCTGAAGTAGCCAGAACAGTTCTCCTACAACAAGGCTATTTATAGTGGTTTAAAAAGCAACCATCTTGGAGCTATTCTAACATGCTGTAGAAGTAATTGAAAGGGGTGGTTACCACACAGTGAAAAGCTCATTAAAAGGAGCACTGTGTTGCCTTAAAGTTTAGCATGTCTGTTTCAGACGTCCTTCCATTTCTTTCAATGTATTATAGTTAAAAACTAGCTCACCTGTTTAATAAATCAGCAAACTGATTTACTCTTAGCCAGTCTACTTCAATTTGGGAGGCACTTTCGACTGTATCAGAGCCAGTTCATATGCTGCTTGAAATAGGAGTTAACTATGCAAACTTACTCATTTTGCACACAATGTTATGTATTGTTTGACTAAAGCACAGATGTCCAATTCTCTGTATCCAAGTACCTCACAACTGCAATCTAGGCTTCAGAAGAAAATTTCACTAGTTTTGGTGGTTGAAGTAAAAGCTGATGTTAGGGTAAACATCCAAATTTTTAATTGTCTTTTCCGTTGAACTCTATGGAGATTACATTTTACAGTTTGGGTTAATAACTAGCCAGCCAATGCAGAGAAAAATGACAGAATTCTTCTAGATTAGGATAACAATCTCATATATACACATACTTCACCCATGTCTTCCTCCTCCTCCTCCTCTGATGTAACTTCTTCTGTTGTTCCATTCTGCAATACAACAATGAGGTTTCTGCATAAACTGTGCACATGTTCCTTTCTTTCAAAAACAGGAAGTCTACTATCAAAGAGAACGCAGTATATACAAAAGTTACACTTATCAAGGTCTGCAAGGACTGAAGTTTAATGCGAAAGATACACAAAGATGCTTTCGTGGAGAATGATAGGGAAGAGATTTTTGCACAAAGCAAAGATAAACAAAATGCTACAATTAATTTCACATTAAGTTCTAAGTGGAAACTTAAGATTCAGATACAGATATCCTATTCTGAGACAGTGACAAATGCAATAAACAAGTCAAGCGGGTTATAACTCATGATCTCTTAACCATGAAATCAGATCATGGCTCTGACTACAATCCATATACATGCTAGACCTCTAAAAAGAAAAAACCAACAAACTTCAGGCCTCTCAAACTTAATGCATTTTTGTCTTCCTACCTAGAACTTCTATGCAACAACTACTATAATCATATAGCCATGGTTATTACATTATTTGATAAAATACCAAAACAAAACATTGAGTTCATTTTTCATGGCTTTCCGTTTCAGGATACCACTTCAAGTTTAGGAAGTTTGAGCTGCAGAAATACTCAGGAGCATTCTGATATGCTTGTCCTCTGCTCACTCGTCCTTTGGCAAAGAAGGAATGCCACTGCTGTAGACAATGCAGGGGACTAGATGGATCTCTGGTCTGACTTACTAAGGCCTCTCTTATTCAACTCACAAATTATCCGACGTTTCTAGCTAAGAAACCTTCCATGAGTTTGTTTTTGAGTTTCAGAGCATAAGCAAGACTCTTCAACGAAGCCACTTCCTAATATTACAGGCCTATTGCTTTACAATTGCACTGCTACGTGGGTGGCTGAGAGAAAAGACCTATAGGATTACAATTTGGCACATGACCAAAATTAAGCAAGTTATTTGTCATTACTATAGCACTGTCACCACAGGAAAACCATCTGTTACGCTACAGGAGTTTTTAGAAGTCATGTCATCTTAACATGTATAAGCAAAAGAAGATACCATAATCTTATTAAAAAAAAACCAAAAAACAAACAACAGTTACTGTCAGTTAACAGTTCTGTTTTTCTGTTTTCAGCACAATACAAAACATTTTAGTTAACCAGAACATTTCACAGCCCTTCACAACTCTTAATTTGACAAGAGCCCAAAAAGTAAACAAGGCAGCTCAGATACCCCCTACCCAAAGTAGCATATGGTCTTGATATCCCATGTCTCTGCAAGGGATTGAAGAGGAAGGAAAACATCAATAGCAGTTCATTCAAGTGCACACTGTAAAACATATACTCCTCAAGAAAAAGCAAACAGTGTTTAATCACATCTACATTTTGGAAAAATTAAATTTGGGAAGCACTAGGAATACACAGTGATTGGCTTGAACAGTATTTAGGAGGGAATTCAACTGACAGCACTGGTATCACATACACACCTTTCAGTGATACAGAAACTCCAAAGGAAATTGTGTAATATTATCACACCATTATTAAATGGATTCTACAAACAAAATTCAGATTGAGGACACTATAAAGCAACAGTGCTTCATATCTCAGTTCTGGCTTACACAAGGTTTAATCGTTCCCACCATCTTCTTTCTTGGAGTTGAAAAAACAACTCCTTCATTGCCATAAGGAGGTGTCCACAGCTTTTTAATTTACCTGTCCAGCTGGCAATGGCTGATCTAACATTTCAACATCTGGATGCTGAGGAAGATTATATAATCTGCAGAGGTCACATATTAATCTCTTCAGCTGTTGAAGAAGCTATAAAAAAAAGAAAACATGGAAACATCTATTTAAACCAAAGCACAGAACAACATATGTTGAATTTTCTTCACCTGTTGGTACTGAAGTTTCAGTCAGTGTACAGCATTTAAATCTGCACACACTGGAATAAAGTTTAAAGATCCCTCTTTTTCTCTGTAGTCATTGTAATAAAATCCCCACAATGGGAAACCAAGGACATGGCAAGTTAAAGATGGCTCCCATTCATCTCCTCATGTCAAGTGAAGAAAGTCATGAGCAAAACAATAATCTGCTCTGGCAGCATCATCAACTCCAGGCATAGGTGTCTCAGCCACAAATCACTACGGAATAATCAAATGGTCATATTCCATGAGACAAGATGGTCCATTCCAGTTTCCTAGGTTAAAGAACCATGTCTTCAAAAAAACAAGGAGGAACAGTCTGATTTGCCACATTCTGAACCCCTTTCTAGGGCACACCAGTGAGGCGCTACAAGCGAGACAAACACTGTATAAGGCACAGAAACTAGCCAACCTCTGAGCTAGAGCCCAAGTAGTCTGCTTCCCATATCTTGTATCAGGTTGAGGCACAATCTGTTACTATCACTGATTTCTGTTTCCAACTTTCAGCGTTACATTGACTGTGTTCTGTTAACTGCAAAATATGGAACACCTTTCACTCACTGTAATGCTATCCAGCAAATAAACTTAGTTCTGCAGAAATAGAGAAACGTTAAGTTTGCTTCTCGATCGCGACACTAATTAAGTGGATTTCTATAGCTGCTAACTTTCCCTAGGCAGCCTCAGATTCCTAGTTAAGGCCAAGACCATAAAAGACTGTACTACTGCATTTCCTAACTTTTCAAGGTCTTTGCATAGCTATGTCAGAAAAACAAAGAAAGAACTGCAGAATACGTTTGCAAAATGGTCAACACTTCATTATTTGCAGAATAATACCCTAGAAAAATGCTTGCAAAAATTATACATCCATTTATGGACTTTTCTTCCAGATACCAAAGGGAGTTTGTCTTGCCACTTGTAGAAGGCAGCGTGCAAGACAGCCATTTCTGCACACATACCCTTCAGCACTACTAGTAGTTACGCTTACAGCGGCAACCCCTGCTTCCCTCTAAGTATCTTTCCATAAAGGAGGGAGACTCAGGCAATGTGGCCTCACCCAAGGTACAGCATAGAGTGTATTATCCTGAAAGAATGATACTTCTACATCACTATTTGGTGTTTGTATACTGTATTTCTTAAAATATACAATAAATCAAGGTATCCAAGAAAAATCTAGTCACTCCAAAATATTCTACATGTCTAAAGCCTTGCTATTGGCCAGTTCAAATGCTCTTACCTTACCCTACTGCAAGTGAAAATTCAGCCTCTCCAGGGTTAAGAATTCATTTCCAAGCTCAAATCACTAGCAGTGATAAGCAAATGCTGCCCTTCTGCTATCTGAAAGCTTCAATGCTTTTCCCTTCTCCAGCAGAATTCAACGTTCCTGTTTAACAGGACTGTTATTTATTCATTGGAGGCCATGTACTGACATACCAGCCTGCATTACAAGAATTATGACATTCTCTCCTATCACACCACATTGCTGCTTCTACATCTTTCACGACAGTCATCTTTAACTCAAAAATAAAACAGATGACACCAAAAGAACTGGTGTGTCAGCAACACATTTCTTGTGAGCAGATACACGAGATATGATGGTTTATGTTGCCAGAAGCTTTCTGTAACAATCACATTTCTCATCAGTGTTAAGACTCTACACCTGTTTGAAACTTCCTGGGTGTCTGAAACACCAGGAAATCTTTTAGCAGGCAGAAAGCAGGTTAATCAATCAAAAAGTTAGTTGGTAGATAGAACCACAGGTCTTAGAACTATTATTCTCAGTATTTGCAAGATCCTTAAAGTTGCACTGCTACACATTTTGTTGAGAAAATTTTTCTCTGCACAAACAACACTGCCTCATAGAGAGCTGGAGCATGAACTATAAAGTTTCAGGAATTGTAATTTTTCTCAGATAGCTATGTAAAGCTAGGCAAGCCATTAATTTGTCTACATCTGTTGAGAAGCATACAAAAAATCTAAACGGTGGAGGAAGGATACCACCACTGGCGTTTGGCTGGTCCAAAGCTTGGAAAAGCAGTTGAACACAGTATTAGATGTGTCTCTACAGAAAGAGACAGTAAGGGCTGGGAAAAGAGTTAAGAACTGCTTCCTCCACTCCCCATCCTCTTCATGAGAAATCATGTCACCTGAACTGAAATTCAGAAGGAATTTTTGCAGGCAGGACCTAACGCATTGTACGCTTCTCTTGCTTCCTTCTGAACACAGCACCATGGCGAGGTACACAAGAACTCTCAAAGCAGCAAACTGCCGGCACAACCTGGACCAAACTGCACCGTGGCTGTGCCTGAAGAGGTGTCTCCCTGCCTCCAGCAGCATGTTTTCACCTTCGCATTTGCACTGGCTCCAGAGATCACGCAACCATGCAGCAGCTTGCAAGCTTCGAGGCAGATCAATTCCTGATGTGCTTCAGCACATAAGCACCAATTTCACGATAAAGGGGGAGGCAGGAATGTGCAGCTGAGAGCAGGGAGCCCCTTCCTTGGCAGCAGTCTACACTTCAGGGTTAGCTTAATGCAACTGTAAAACTGCAGTTTCATTTTTATAGCTCAGTTGTTTTACTTGATGTCAGTTTCTACAACCTGCAAAGGTGGTGGCAGAGCGAGAAGCTGATCCCATCTCTACAACCTTTCTTCCTTATTGCTATATTTTTCCTCCACAGGCATTCATTTCATACCCTTGATCCTTCTGCCATGGATCACCATCCCCATTACCCTTTATCCTCTGCTCATATATATGAAAAATCATAGGACAATATGGGCTGAAAGGCACATCTGGAAGTCATCTGATCCAACCCCGCACTCTAAGCACAGCCTAGCATGATTTGGTATGTGTTAATGGTACATGAATAGACTGTATCAAAAGGGATGGCAGATTTCTGCCATGTATTAATAATTTAAATGTATTTCCAAGCTAACCTCACATGCTTAGCTAATGTAAAATGAATGCTTAACACACACGCTTTGCTGCTACTGAAGAGAAGTGGACTATCAGTATACCAATAGTTTCCCTGGAATACAAACTGCCTAAAGCAGAAACTAAACAGCAACTAGAATGAATAATTCACAGGGTATTAAAGGAGCAATGCAAGTAGCCTGCATAAGGTAAGTGCTCAAGTGACCAAATACAGTGACAAATTTATAAATTGATGATATTGATTATAATTAATATAAAAATAACAACGAAATATTAAAATATCATGTATATATCTATAATATAACTTTTAATGCTTCAGGACTTCCGAGAAGTTGGTAGTTCTTAGGGACACCATAATGCTGTTTTAGAACACAAAAACACCTCTTCGAATTTTTTGTTTCCTGTGTTAACATCTTACAAATCTGAAAACAGTTTAAAACAATTTTTCTGAAACCTATCCTATATTAGGAGGCCTTTTTATGCACCAAGAGATCTTTCTAATGCAGTATGAAAGCATTAATAATGTTAGGATACCTTTAATGATATTAATATACTGCTGGGTTCACTATGAAGCACCTTGTTTTCTGATTACCAAGAAACATGGACTGAAGAAGTATAGTGTAAATATACATATACTTATTCTTCTACATGTATCTATATACATATATATATACATACACACACACACAATCTGTATCTGCATAAAAATAAATAAATGAATCAATAAATCTTAGCCTAACACAGAAGGAAACTCCTCAGGAAGAAACAGAGGGAAGAAGTAACCGTCATTTGGAGTGTGACCACTACTTAGCAATCAGGTAGTCTGTGGCAGTAGATATTAATATACTGCTGGGTTCACTATGAAGCACCTTGTTTTCTGATTACCAAGAAACATGGACTGAAGAAGTATAGTGTAAATATACATATACTTATTCTTCTACATGTATCTATATACATATATATATACATACACACACACAATCTGTATCTGCATAAAAATAAATAAATGAATCAATAAATCTTAGCCTAACACAGAAGGAAACTCCTCAGGAAGAAACAGAGGGAAGAAGTAACCGTCATTTGGAGTGTGACCACTACTTAGCAATCAGGTAGTCTGTGGCAGTAACTGGCCTCACACGCACTCAGCAGCCTTGGGCAGCTTCAGAAAGCAAAGCAAAGCTTCTTCCTGCATTTTGTCTCTATGATCGCCAATACATAATTAGTTGCTGCTGCACTGGTAGTTTGCAAAAGGCAACATTCTTTCCTGAAATGCCATCATGTGGGACTAAATCTAAATTCTTAATACAGACGTAGTGTGCTTAGGGACAGCAGCTTATCCAAGCTGTACACATACTTATGCCAGGAATTCTATACTTTTGAAGCCTTCCATGCACATTTAAGCCCTCAAGGTTTGGAGAGTGTGAGAATCAAAGCTGTCCATCTGAATTTAAGTCCATTTCAGTATTGTCTTTAAAAAGCAAACCTCCAAATCACGTATAATTATATTTAATAACCCATGAAGTAAGGTTTGAGACTTTAGATTTTCAACTATAACTTCCATTATGTTAAACAGAACGATGACATTGAAGTAGGATTTCTCTTTGGCATTGCACAACCACTAAAAGGCAGCTGTCAGTTTCAGCTACCTACCAAGTCTAATGCAAAGCTGATTTTCAGGATCTGAAAGGGAATTCAGGAGACACCAGGGGTCAGAGAGAATTCTGTAGCCTCTTCATCTGCTGGCTGGAGCTTGTTCAATATGAACAGTCAAGCAGCTAAAGCCTCCAAACCTAATGCTATCTATGCTGATCATGCTCTTAACAACCTTTCAACATTTTTAGTGTTTGGAAGAATTTTCAGAGCAAAAAGCATCACGGTGATGCCAAGGTAACACAGAGTTTCAGACCCACAGAAGATTTTCCAGGAGAGGCTTGTATGATTTTAAACATAGGTAAACCAGTTTTCCTTTTATCATGTCAAATGACAAGGCTTCCATACATATGGCCCTGTCAAACTTCTATGCCTGAAGAGCACGTTCTTCAGTTTCGCAAACAGCTTTTACCTGTCAAAAGTTACAAAGCAAGTAGAAAGGGCAGACTAATACCAAGAACTCTAAATCAAGGTATATGTGCTAGCAGTGCTTTTAGCACATGTTCACTGTGCTCAGTTGAGCTCCTGGAAGAGTTCAATGCAATTTCCCATTCAAAATTTGACTGTTCTAATAACTTTATGAGTTTAGAGCAACATGGCACAAACAATCCTTCAGCTGCAATAGATTAAATGAAAACTGGTTTGAAACATTCTAAAAGTTTAAATTGAACTACGTGATTTTTAGGAGATAGCATGATAAGTCAGAAGCCTCTGAATTTCTACAGGTGGTAGTAGTTCCTTATCCCTTCCTACCCTACTGCAAGAAGTCTGTGTGTGAGTTGCTCCAACGCCCTTGAAGGGGAGGGAAGGAGGTGCAAGGGAAAAAGTTGTAGGGAGAAAAAACAAACCCAAAACTCACAAAGCCAAGCCTTTTGAGCAAAACAAAGAAGTCAGATTTTGTAGCGTAAGTATTTGTCTCTTCAACCACTCCCTCTGTCTTCATCTTGGCATAACATGATGTGGGGTGGATTCCTGAGAAACCAATGGGCCATCCACAGGTGTCTATTACATCAACCCATCAGCTTTTACATGGGCAAGTACAATCTTGATATCAGAAGCTGTTTTCTTACAATGTACATAAGCCGTCTACGTGCATATGCAATTCAGCACAGCAAGTCCTATGGATGTTTGCAATAAAGCTTTCTACCCTATTGCAAGCAAACCTGTAGGCCGTTAAACATAGGAAATACCTTGTTTAAAACCTTTAGTCTGAAGCTACTAGCCACACCAGCTTCAAGCTGGAGAACCTTCTGAGAAGTGTATTTAAGAAAAAAGTTGATTTGGCCACATTTTCTGCTCCTATAGTGTCATATGTCTTTCTAGGCAGAAGTCACAAAGACTAAGAGAGAGATAACATTCTTCGAAATGTAGTTTAGTCTAAAGTTTAGGTTGTAAGAAGAAAATAAACAACTGATATATGTGTCTCCTGTAATTAGATCCAACATAATACATTCAAACACTAATGTTCTTCTGCAATGGCCCTTTGTTTTTAACTATGGCAAGGCACATGAAGACTCTCACTTACTTGTTAGTTTTCTAATTATTTCTGCCAGAAGTCAAATGCATCCTAAACATTCTTTAGAAAAAGAAATTTGCACATCCTTATTTAAGGTCGAGTATGCTTAATTAACATTATCCCAGTAAACATTACAGGTAAGTGATTTAATGAGAAAGAACATTCCCAACTTTTCCAAAACCAGGCAAATACTAAGGCCAGCACATAATCGATGCAAGCAGCACTACTCTGCATACTGATTTGTTTTGTATGCATCACATACATGCATGCATTCCTGTACACAAAAATAAACAAAAAAATGTTAAAATAATCTGTTAATAAAGATCATCCTTAAGGGCTATTTGATATCCATAAAGCTGAATTTGGAGACAAAAAACCAACACTTTTAATCACTGAATTTGTCAGTAGGCTGCAACACTTCTCTTTGTGGAACAAAGGACATTGGTACTGAAATTTTTCTTCAGGTAATAGTCAAGGACACTTATTTTCCTGCATAGAATGGGAAGTTATTTTTTTATACATATACAGCTCCTATCACTACATCAAAAGGGTACTCAAGTAAGATACAATGCCTGATAGTTTTCTGAAATGCAAAACTACCACTAGAATCCGTGCAAAGATTTTCTTTAAACAGCAACTGTCCAAAGTCACAACACTGTTCAAACTTATCACTATCTAAGCAACGTTCAGATGAACCAGAAGCTATCAGGTCAAGTCTTCTTTACTGAAACCAGGAATTCTTTTTATTAGTTACCATTACAGCCATGTTTTGGAGAATATACATTCTCAATAACACAAAGCTTTTGCCTCCATAATTGATCTCTATGCAAAGAAAACACTAGAAGAGCTGTTTTACTCAGTAGTTTTAAGTTGTCATGCATTTCACTGTTTAATTATTTTCAGAAAACCTTAAACAGTGTAATGATTGGAGCTGAAACTTAACTTCTTTTAAAGAGCAAGCATTTAAGTCATCTTCTCCGCCCTGCCCCAAATCTTTCGGATTACTTTTGGTTCATATGGTTTTGGAAGAGAAACTTGTGTTTACAAAACCTCTCAAGTAACCCCAAAATTGAACTAATTTAACTGCTTGTTAATGTGACAGAGCTAAATAAAGACTCAAAACCAAATAAACACCCAAAGCAACCAAAACACTTGCTCACCAGCGTATTGCTCTTCTTAATATCTTCTAAACGCTCTAAGACTGAAGTCAGGTTTGGGTCATCTGATTCTACAAACCATATTGGTGATGAAGAGGGGTAAGACTCCTGTTAAAAAAAAACACACAAGACCCAACAAATAAATAAACAAAAAACCCATAAAGCTTTTAAAACTCATTCACCCCAAAAATTTCACAACACTGTATTAACATCATCTTTTATCTTACTCCAAGTCAGGTAACATAGAAGCTTTTAACACAGCATTTTTAGGCAACGCAAGAGAAGTTGAAAGAAATCCAGCCAACTGGTTCTTCTAGTATTTCATCCTATTTTCATCTTGATCAGATGATGGACATAAATAAGAAACAGTGCTGAAAAGTTTAAAACCCTAGAGGTGGGTGGAGCAGGAGGAAGAAATTTAGAAATGCAGTACAGGTGATTATTTCCAAAAAATGGAATCACAAGTAGTACATGTCAAAGAATAAAAGTATACCAATGCCGATTTTTCATAAAAATACAGATTATTCCAAATAAAAGCTATGAAAGCAACAAAACCTGGAGTCTTCAGATTTCCTCCTCAAACAGTATTATTCAAACTGTTCTAGCACTGCCCCTCAGACTGAAGCAACATAGCTCCAATCTCCTGCCTTGGAGGACAAGTTAACAGGCAGACCATGATGCCAAAAATCTGCAATTTTATCTTTGTACCATCAAGGCTCATAGAGGACTTTCCACTGGTGAAAGATTTCTCAAACAATATATTGCATACAACCCTATCAAGAAAGCTTACAGAATAACCTTCTTCCATCAACAGAGTCCTACAGTTGTTAAGCAACTGCAAAAACACATCCTAGTGACAGTGAGATCAAATGGGTTCACAGCATTAGAAGTGTACTCGATTTTCCAGAACAAGCCATGATTAGGGCACATACATCATATGGAACAGATGTGGCCCACAATCGCTCATACAATCCACAACAAGTGATTTTTCCGTCATTAAGCTGCCACAGCATACAGCCCTTCAGAAGGTGCTAGAAGGACCCTTGCTACGGAGAGGTAAACAAGTTTTTTTCCCCTCTTGTTTAGATGTTTCAAACAGCAATTCCAATTTTTTCTCCTAACACAGGTTTGGTAACATTTTAAGGATGGAGGAAACCATGTAGCTTCCAACTCAACAGTAACTGTCCCCTCATATCATTGATGTGCTTGGATTTTTTTGTTTTGTTTTAGTTATTTAAGGCATTCTCTACTTCTCACCCATTCAATTAAATTCTAGTAGCTGAGGACAAATTGCTGAACCTCAGTTTTATCACCCAGATATTATCTTCACATACCCAGATCTTACAAAATAATATGAGGGAATTTTCATTCATTTCCCTCACTGCAGTTTAAAAGGAAAAATATTTCTCACTCCAGAGACAACAAACCATGCTTCATTCTTCAACACTTAGAGTCAAGTGCTACTCTAACAGATGACTCCAAAATGTGCACTATGCTTACAAATTTACATTCTTTCTTGATTGCATTGTGTATTTTTTGCTTTATAGTTTTCAAGACAGCAGTAAAAAGTTTCATAGAAGGAAGACATCATACTTGTCTGTCAGTGTTACTGTCTGGTCTTTAGCGATTCCCAAGCAAACTTAGCCTTAGCAAGCTCTCAAAGCGCAAGTCCCAGAAGAAAACCCAGACCTTCCTACCTTAAACTAGCTTCTGTCATTTCAAAGATACGGAGTTTATTAGAATACAGAACGCTATCCATTTGAAAACTGTAGAAAAATACAAGCATGTTAGAATTGGTTTTAATAATATGAAGCTTACTTCCTAACTGACCTTCTAGCTGAAGTGCTGAACCTCATAAAAGAAACCATGTGATTAGATAACGGACATCAGCTTTGGTGAAACAGACTATCAGAGCAGAGGTCACATCTAGCAGCACACTCCAGGGAAGTTCTAGCTCCAGAGGTCTAAAATTCCCACCTGTAAACTCAAGCCTTTGCATAAACTTATTTTTAAGCAAGCTCAATCCCCACTGCCTCAAGTTTATGTTTGGGTTTGGTTGTTTTTTTTTTTTAAATCACAGCTAAAAATACCTTAAAAGAATACATGATATTCCTAGTATCTTTATGAAAAGACAGACTGCTTACATCTTTCAGCTTCACTTTGAAGCACACCAGACACAGAGACCTTAGAATATCTATTCTTGACTAACTAAGGTCTAACATCTCAAACATCTGTCAAGAAAGTCCAGTGCTTAGGTTGCCAAGATTTTAAGGCTAAGGAAGGCAAACAGATGAGCAGTTACGTGTGGCTTAATCACTTCCTTCCTTTACCAAATACAGCACCTTGGAGAAGTATATTTTCTCCTCTGTTTCACTTAAGACGCTCTTGAAAGACTAACCACTATCACTGCTGGAGAAACAAGGTTAAATTCCCAGCTGCCACTGGGTTCCCAAACTATTATTTTTAGGAGCTACACTTTGTTAAAAGCTACTCCATGTTTTGTACTGATAACATCTCACTCATTTTTAACAACATGCAACCTACCTGTAAAGTCTTCTGCAATAGTGCAATATGCTTACCTCAAGACTTTCATACTGCACACTGGATCTTTATGCACAGTTGGGAACATCAGAAGGGAGACTCTGCTAACTGTGGCCCTACTGCCCAAAGCCTTGTTTGAACCAGCTATTTTTGAGACCTGAACTTCTCTGGTCATCTCATTAAGCTAAGAGAAAGGCAATAGGGTAAACACTACTACCATGACTTTAGATTACGCCAGCATTCCCACCAGAAAATACAAAGAACAAGCAAAATCCCTTCCAAGATTCATTGAGCAATCTGCTCCTTGAAGTCTTCAGACTCATTAGAATAAAAATATTCTCCAGGTACAGTCAACATTTGGACTGTGTATGTTCATTCACCTAACAGGTATTTTTGGCTTTTTTTTGTTTTGTTTTTTTAAATCAAGCATTTGTTTATTATGTTAGTCCAGGTCTAAGCAAGCCTATTAATTGCAATGATTTATAGAAGATAACATCTGTCAGTCCACTCTTCTAAACCATATCTGGAATCTGAAGACTGCTTACAGGATGAAGCTCCACTCTTCACTGTCTATATTCTTCTTTTCTGACAATTCTGTTTCTCCTTTCTCCACCAAAAGGATTTAATGAACAAACCCACAGTAGGACACTTGTTGGTTGCAATCAGTATCTATCCCAGTCTAGGGGGCCTATACAAAAATCTCCTCCAAAAAACTTGCAGCAAATCCTTTGTCAGACAGGGACACGACCAATAGTGCAGATTTGATGACTGAGCAATCCCACTATGTGTTTAAATACATGACAGTGGCTACTTGAACGTGCTAATGCCTTCTGCACTCAATGACAGACCTTCCTCATTCTTTGCTCTCATTCCAACTTATTCCATTTTTTGCAATGAAAGCGAGTCCTGCTGTATGTGAGAAAAACATACTAGGATTTGATACTGCCTGCGTTATTACTGTATAGCACATATGAACTACTATACCCTAAAAATCATTAAATATTCAAATTTTTAGTCTGCTTTAGCTTTTGAAACAGGAATGGGAACAATATATTTATCAGAAAGGCTTTTGTTAAACACTGTGAGCATATTCACTCATCTGTATCAGAAAAGATTTCAAATTTTAGACTTCTGGAATATCGATATTTAATTGCATGTTCCAACTTTTTCACAACCGATGTTTAATATTAAAATCCAAGTTCATCTAACTTCCTGTTTGTTGCAACAGTTTTTAATTCTTCAGACTTACCAATAAATATGTTTGTTTAACTTAAAAATATAAATGGTACTAAGTTTCTCTAGATCTGTAAGTAATCCATATTTTTGGAACAGCTGAGTTTCATGTGGATATGAGTCACTATATTTTGAAACACAGAATTCACACACAAACTTCAAACATTCTGATCTTGAGATATAAACAAGCTCATGAGTTTGTAACACCATACATGCAATGAAAAACTAAGCTTGTCGTTTGTAAGGTCAAACAACTAAACTTCACATGAGCTAATTCTGTTTAGAGAATTAAGTCAGCCTTTTCTTCCATGTCTGCATCCTATAGAGGGAAGAGATGGATTTGAGTTATGGCATGTAAGGAACATAAGTTTCCAAATACTAAGGCAATATTTTATGAAAGGAACCCTAGAACAGAAGTTATTTTATTAATTCTCAGTGGCTACAAAAAAAACCCCATTATTTTGGGCCTTTTACTACACAGCTGATGCATAGGGATTTTGTATAATCTAGCTTAGCTGCACAGGTATCGCCCATATTAAGTGTTTGAGACCTTTTATGTAACTGCTGTAACATGACATTTTCCTGCTCTCTACAAGTAAACCCAAAAATTCATCACAAGAGGCAAAGGCTACAATGCTTAGATTTGGGCAGCTTTCACAAGCTAATGCATGCTGTACAGCTTGGAAAGCTAACGCAATTGCTCAGTGAGACATGACATGCTGAGATGACATCACACCTAGCATGTACTAAGGCCTGAGGACAAAGGCTGAATGTTTACAGCCAACCCAGATACAATTACAATGCACAGGATCGTCGCTTCTAGAGAGTCTTTGTATTAACACCAGGACAGATTGGGAGCTTTGTCAACACAAACGCTTCTGTAACAGAATGCAGCAAAAGAATTTAGCCTACTAATAAACATACAAAATACAAAAAGAATAAAGGCCCGCACTCCTGCCACTGGAACAATTTCAAAACCTATCAAATCAAAAAAAAAAAAAAAAAAAAAAAAAAAAAGGAAACTCACAGTCAAATCTAATTATCTTTCTGTAAAGTGTTTTCCAGTATTCTTTCTGGGAGGCAACCAGTGCTGATATTGGTTCAAGCTTTTGAGATTAATTTCTCTTACTTTATACACAAGAGAAATGCAAGTTGACAAACTGATAAACTGCCTTACCCAAGTTCTACTGATAGAAATATTTATATATTAAAAAAAATATTATATTGAAGACAGAATATGGCATTAAGTGATGAATATTGCCTATGGTGATGTACTAATATTGGCTTACAAGTCCATAAATAAGAGTAATGAGCATAAGCTTCAGGCAATCATT